CACGACCATCGTGCATGCCTAAACAAAATCGAGACTCGTCACTAAAGACAATACTGTTCCATTCCTGATCCCAGAGTGATCGTTGTCTGCACGACTCGAGGCGATTACGTCGGTGTTCTCGAGTTAAAGGGAGGACCCAGTGTGGCCGGTATGAAAACAAGCCAAAACTTCTCATTCGTCGGTAAACACTTCGCATGCCAATAGGTCTTCCGTGTTCTGCAAACCATTCATTTGCAATGGACCTGGTATTTGCAATGGACCTGGTAGTCGGGAAACGGTCCCTTAAGGCCAATAATATCAGGCGGCGATCTTCACGGTCTGTTGTTCTACGGCGGCGTCCAGTGCCCCTTGCTCTTTGCGTACGGCCTTCTCGAAGCAATGCCAGACCTAACCACAGTGTCTAACACTTCTTTGCACTCTAACTGCAATTGCCCGAAAAGAAAGTCCAGCTTCCCGAAGTCCCACTATACGGCCAATATCAAACTCACTAAGTTGACGAAATCGTACAGGTCTCCGTACTCTAGGCATCGTAACCGATCGTAAAGGATGTCAAGAACCAAAATCCGCCAACGTTGATTCCTTACTGCGGCTGAAATATTCATTTTTAGAGCGTTAGTGAATTAAAAAAAAACAGTATAAAAACCGGAATGTCCAACTGAATAGGCTGAACATTTTTTCACTTGTTATTTACAGTAAGATAAATACATTCACCAACTATTATTAAAATAAAACCATTTAAACTGGGTGTTCGGATTTATATGTCACTTAGTATACATTCAAATTACCTTATTGTAAGAGCTTTGTTGACATGTAGCCATCGATAGTTAAAATGGATTTTTAGCACCTTAAAGTCGCAAACACGCATAGTTTTACAATTTTTCGCTAAATAATTAGATCTACATGTTATGCGGAATCAGGTATACATTGAACGACTTCGAATTCGGTTTTAGCGACCCAAAATACCTAGAATAAAGGTCATTTGAACCGCATTTAAGGCATTTTAACACCAATCGGCGCGAGAAGTAAAATGACAAGATTTTGCAATATTTGCTTGCTTACAACAACAACCTGATCTAAACTACAGGGTGGCCCATAAGTCCTTTGAGCTGGAAAAAAGGAATAAAACCAAACTAGTTACATTATGAAGAATTATTATATTTTGTTATCATCTTTATTGAATGGGAATTATGTTTTAAAAATCACATCGTCTAAATGCAATCCATTACGATCACGGCACTCATATAAACGACGTCTAAAATTGTCGATGACTGCGCGGCAAGTTAACACTGTAATGCTTGCCATTTCTCTTCGGATATTTTCTTTCAGGACATCAACTGATCGCGGAGTGGTGTCGTACACTTTACTCTTGAGGTAGCCCCATAAAAAGAAGTCCATTGGGGTCAAATCTGGACTACGTGGTGGCCAGGAAATGTCTCCTCTTCGAGAAATTACTTTGCTGAGAAAAAGTTGACAGACGACGGGCATAGAAGTGTTGGAGGTGTGGGCAGTTGCTCCGTCCTGTTGAAACCAGATCTGCGTATTATAGCCTGGAAAATTCTGCAACGCTGGTGTCAAAAACTCTTCTATCATTGCTACATACCGCTCCGAAGTAACAGTTAATGCGCGACCTCTGTCGTCCTCAAAAAAATAAGGGCCTACGATGCCATGCGCTGAGATAGCAGCCCAAACTGTAACTTTAGGGCTGTGTAAGGGCTTCTGATGCTTACGCCTTGGATTTTCGGGGCTCCAATAACGGCAATTTTGTTTATTTACATGCCCATTTAAATGGAAGTGAGCCTCGTCCGAGAACAACACATTATTGAGCGAAGAAAATCGATTCAACATTTCATTCGCAAAGTTTAGTCTCTGAATAGCTTAATTATCTTTTAATTCCTGCACTAACTGAATTTTGTAAGCGTGCAGACGTAAATCTATCCTTAAAATCCGCTGTAAAGATGTTCTGGGTACGTTTAGTGCACTGGAACGCTTACGAGTAGACTGGGTAGGATTTTGACGAACAGACTGTGCCACAATGTTGATGTTTTCTTCAATACGAGTTGTCCTTGGTCGACCCCACCGCTGTTTATCTAACGTCGAACCAGTCTCTTCGAACTTAGCAACCCAGTTCTTAATCGTTTGAGCTGTTGGACACTTTGTAAAATTGTGTAAATTGTGGTATTCTCGATATTTACGCCGCGCAATGGTTGCCGAATCATTATTTTGATAAAACGCGCGCACACAAAAAGCACGATCCGCTCCAGTGACACACTCCATGGCGACTGAATTCCCAGACACTGAAGATACTGCCCCACCTCGCCCGCGCCGCTCACGCTCACCCGTTAAATTTTATTCAAATTTGAAATTTCAAAGGACTTATGGACCACCCTGTATATTCGTCATAGAATAAGCTCTATAGATTGGTCTAATTAATACATATGTGATTCATTATCATGTAGATTCCAAAGTTATTCATTGGGTTTAAGGTGATAACGCTCATCAAAAATATTTTTATATGCACATTACACACCGGTACTATATGTAATGACAATTTAGATAAGTCTATGCAAACAGTGCACAATGGATTGTGGAAATGTAAGCCTTGCACCTTATTTGTATATAGGTACTACTTTCTTAAGAATATCGCAAAGTGGCAGGTTAATTTCTCTGTCTTTTTGTTGGCGTTTTTGTTATCGCGTATTGGCTTTGATAAAATTTGGAAAGCACTAGGTTTTTCGAAAATAGATGCCTTCACGGAGAAGTTATTAGGAAAAAATTAATGTCACATCACTATTAAACTTTATTTCGGTATATTTTCCAGTTTCCCTTCGAATCTTTAAGTAGTAAAATTTTTTTGGAAGAGATAACAATTTTGAAATTATAAACTATTTTACCCGTTTCTTAATATTTGAGCATTTTACTAGTAAAGTTCAGATATTTGTAAATAAAATGTGCTATTTACTTCTCACACTAATTGTAATCGTGAAAAACTTCGAAAGCCTCAAATTGTGTGTTTGCATGTTACACGAGATGTAAATCACCAAAAACCATATCACTTATTTCGTCGGTCAGTGTTTTGTGGTCTGTTGCCTGTCCGGTAATAATTTGCCTCTACATTTACGAGAGTACCACTCATATTTCATGAAAAGTATTCACAAGCGAAAAACGAACGGGGCAAACAATAGTTTCAAACTCCCCTTTCAAATACTTTTTCAAGCTTTGTTGTTGCGTGTCAACATTTTTGGAATTAGTTTAATCTATTTTTTCCTGTATTGTCTTTAATGAGTGGGGAGTAATTTGTCAATCTATACTAAGTGACATATAAATCCGAACACCCAGTTTAAATGGTTTTATTTTAATAAAATTTTGTATAAGTACTTAATGAAGCATAATAAGTAAATGATAAAAATTTCAAAATGATTGCACTGCTTTAAAGCCCTTTGACCTTTAATAATGTGTGGATGCACCCTGATGTGCTACGCATTCTCCAACGCGCCTAGGCATGCTTCTGATCAGGTGGTCAATGTCCTCCTGTAGTATCTCATTCCAGGCAACCACCAACTCCTCTCGAAGTGCTTCTAGAGTCTGAGGAGGACGTTGCAAATTGAGCAATCTCCTACCCATCATATCCCACACGTGCTCAATTGGGGATAAGTCGGGAGATCTTGGTGGCCATGGTAACAATGTGACATCATTATGTTGAAAGAAGTCTATTGTGACTCTTGCAACATGTGGTCGGGCATTATCTTGTTGGAAAGTTGGATCTGCCAGGGTATCAAGATAGGGTAAAAGATGGGGTTCTAGAACTTCGTGGATATAACGCTGCGCGTTCATGTTACCTCTGATGAAGATTAAAGGTGACCTGGAACCATAAGCTATAGCACCCCAAACCATAACTCCAACAGTATGATGAACATGTCTTTCAACAAAAAACTGTGGATTCCTCCTTTCACCACGTCGCCTTTTAACCCTGGCACGACCAACGTGCATGCCTAAACAAAATCGAGACTCGTCACTAAAGACAATACTGTTCCATTCCTGATCCCAGAGTGACCGTTGTCTGCACCACTCAAGGCGATTACGTCGATGTTCTCGAGTTAAAGGGAGGACCCAGTGTGGCCAGTATGAAAACAAGCCAAAACTTCTCATTCGTCGGTAAACACTTCGCATGCCAATAGGTCTTCCGTGTTCTGCAAACCATTCATTTGCAATGGACTTGGTAGTGTAGAAACGGTCCCTTAAGGCCAATAATCTTAGGCGGCGATCTTCACGGTCTGTTGTTCTACGGCGGCGTCCAGTGCTCCTTGCTCTTTGCGTATGGCCTTCTCGAAGCAATGCCTGACAACACCTAACCACAGTGTCTACACTTCTTTGCACTCTAACTGCAATTGCCCGAAAAGAAAGTCCAGCTTCCCGAAGTCCCAATATACGGCCCCTATCAAACTCACTAAGTTGGCGAAATCGTACAGGTCTCCGTACTCTAGGCATCGTAACCGATCGTAAAGGATGTCAAGAATCAAAATCCGCCAACGTTGATTCTTTACTGCGGCTGAAATATTCATTTTTAGAGCGTTAGTGAATTAAAAAAAAGCAGTATAAAAACCGGAATGTCCAACTGATAAGGCTGAAATTTTTTTCACTTGTTATTTACAGTAAGATAAATACATTCACCAACTTTTATTAAAATAAAACCATTTAAACTGGGTGTTCGGATTTATATGTCACTTAGTATACGATAGTATATTAAACAAATGTTTTTCTATGTCACTTAGTATAATATTTTTTGTTTTCATTTTGGAATTTGGGTGAATACCGACAGGATGAACGTCCACAAGTTAGCATCTCTCAATAACTTAAATAAATTATTGCTTATGTTATTTTTATTTCTGTTATTGCCTTGTTATATGTAATATCATTCATTTTAATATCTACCGTTATTTCTTATTAATCACCATCCTTGATATTGAGGCAGTCTGTTTTTAATTCTGATTGAATTCAGTATGGGTCTGGAGACTAGCAGTTATTTTAGAGTTCGCGTTATAAACAACTTCCCAAATAGTATTATAATGAAAATTTTTGACATAAGAAAGCGACGTGTCTTATGTTATTTTGCTCGTAAAACAAGAAAAACCCGGCAAAAGTTAACATTTTGAAGGTGTACGTGCGTGCTATATTTAAAGGAATTAAGTTTTACAGTTGTTGTTGTGTCCTTATTGTTAGGGAGTTAGTATTTGAAGTCCATTTGTGCATAGTATGGAACATGAAGGTACGTATTTTCAAAGAAATACGGGTAAAAACATATGGTTTCTGGCAGGGATGCACCGAGTACTCGGGTTGTACCCGGTACTCGGCCCATTTTGCCGAGTATTGAATTACTCGGTCTGAATGCAAGACACACAACTTGTGTAAATTAAAAAATCTGAGCTCATATGCTTTTACGAAAACTTCCTGTTGTGTTTCCCAAGAAATTAAATCACCATCATAGAAATAGTCAAGGTTACAGCATATTTTTGCCGGAATCAGTTGCCTGATTTAGATGATCTTTCAGTAAATGTCGACCGTCCTCTTCACTAATCTAGTGCATAACCTGCGGAATGTGCAGAGCTTATTTTTTATATATAATATGTTGCTATTACACGTTTTTTCATAAAAGATGCAGATGAAGCTTCTCTAACAGTTTAAATTAAGTCCACATTATAGTATTGCCTTCTGCAGTTTTTATTCATTATTTTATTTTTCATATGATCACTAAAAAAATGGCGTCAAGTAGGTTGACTCTGTATTTCCCAAGCAACGATGTGATCGGTTCATAAAAGATTAGGTTCAGCATAAACTAGACCCTCTGAAAAAAAGCAAGAATTTCTGCAAAGGCCTATAGGATTTAAATTCTTGCTGGCCATAGTATGGCAGCGATTCTGTTACGTAATGTTTCAAAATTTGAACAGCTTGGCTACCTTTAATAAAAATGTAGGTTTAATATGTCGAGTGTATACCTTTTGAATGTTTGACAAAAGCTCTTTTCTTATAATAGGAAGGATTGAAACGTATACTGCAGTTTATTCGGATACAGCAATTTACAGTAAAGAGCAAGATCTAAATTAACACACACAGAGCCTGCTCACTATTTCCTTTATAGAAAAACTATGTCGTCAGCAAAAGTAAAATACTCTTTAGATTAAGAAAATACAGGGTGACTTGAGTCATTTATTTTAACAGTGAGTAGATCTGATCAAAAGAAATGTTTTTTTCCTTTACCATTTTTCTGGTAAAATTAAAGTAACGAAGTTATAGCCCTTTGGAAGTTTGAGTACCGCCCTGTCTCGATAATAATATTATGTGCTCGTGTTTGGCGACAACGGATATAATTCGCCTTATCGGTTCATCGCATCGGAAACAAAAAACCGAAAGAATTTGGAACGATGTTTTTACAATTATTTCATTCAGTGGTATACAGTCAGTGTCAGTCGGTAGTGGATAGTGGTGTCTGTTGCGTGGCTCAAACGAAATAAAAAATGGCACATGTTTATGCGGATCGGTTTCCCAATCGAGTGCAACCAACCCCTCGTGCCTTTGTTAATGTAGTACAACGGGTTCGTGAATCATTTGACTTAAGACCTCACATATGGACGGCATGCCGGTGCTCCAAGACCTCACGATCAAATACAGGTCCGCACTGAAATACTTGTCGGGAGGATACTTTATAAAACAAGGTGAAAATTTTTTTTTAATTTTTTTTTATTTTTACACACATATTTTGGTTTATCTTCCTTCTACAATCATTATCTGAAAATTAATGACTCAACTTCAAAGTCACCCTGTATAGCGAGTATTATAGTGGCCCGAAGACTGACACCCGGAGGACACCATAGTCGCTAGGTAGCCACTCACTATTTGTTTCACCAATTTTCACATATTGTTTCCTGTTAAGCAAATAACTTTTAATCAAAGTGTACATAGTACCCCTAAATTCCATATTTTTTATTTAATAACATATTGATATATACCACATCAGATGCCTTTCTTAAGACTATAAACCCCGCTATGACCAATTGTTTTTTATCCAGAGCCCTTTTTTATGAACCCATACTGGTAACTGTCAGCCAATGTATTTTCATTTATAAATGACATTCTTTTCTTCATGATTTTTTCAACAATCTTAGTTAAAACACTGGTCACAGATATTGGCCTATAATTATTCATAGACTCTTTATCACTTGATTTATAAGGTGGAGTAATTTTACTGATTTAAGTTCATTCGGAAATTGTTCAGTTATAATTATAATGTTAATTAATTTTACTAATACTCGTATCTTTACATTATAACATCCGAGGCTGAGTATATTTCTGACCAAAATGCCATCATGGCTGGGTGCCGAATTTATTTTTAATTATTTCTTTATTATATTCCGTAGAGCGGGTACTTCTAGTGGCCACCACTAGGCATTATGCGTGCCCGAATCCCTTAGTTTGCGTGAGTATCCACTGTGTAAAATTTCCTTGGAGGCGAATCAGATTTTACCGCTCAACTGTGTTCTAGAAACCACTTCTATTTGATAAAGCAATCCTATATACAGGGTGGCGCATCGAAAACGAAACAGAGGCAGCAGCGGTGGCCGCAGTAGTAGGCTCTTCGGTCTCCTGATCAGTCGCCGTGCGCTGTGCGAGTTCGAGTCCCGTCCCAGAAGAAATTTTTCTCTCGGCTATGGATGTTGTGATTGTCCGTAGGTGGTAGACGGTCTCTGACTGTCGAACGTGGAGGTACCACCCGGCGGATCTCGTAGGCGGAGCCAGAATGTGTGTATGTTGCATGCACACGTGTTCCCTCGCCAGAGCCCGTGTGGCGTCCCCTTTCCCCTGTATCCCCCTATAACCCCACGGTACCCAATGGGTGTTTAGGCCTTAGGCCTTCGTGGTAGTTGGAGTATAAAAAAAAGACGCATTTACTGGCAGCTCAGTTTTTTTTTTGAAAAACGCTCATACCCGTCGATTTTGGTTTCGAGGGGGACCCAAGTTTGGCAAAAAATCACGTTAATACGTGCAGCCCCCTGGGCGGGGGTGACACCAACCCTAAAATCTTAAATGAGGTTCATGCACAGCAGCCACAAACATTAAATGTTTGGGCTGGTATTTTTGGCGATAATTTGGTTGGTCCTTTTTTCTTACCTGGAAATTTGACCGGTGAAATGTATTTGGAATTACTGGAAGACGCCATAGATCCTGCATTAACAGCCATAATTGAAAATCAGAATGATCGGCGGATTGCGAATAGGTTGATATTCCAACAGGATGGTGCCCCACCACATTACGCATTATGTGTTCGACAATATTTAGATCAGACGTTTCCAGATCGATGGATTGGTAGAAGAGGTGCCATTGAATGGCCCCCAAGATCGCCAGATTTATCACCTTTGGATTTCTTTATATGGGGTCATTTAAAAAGCAAAATCTATGCTACTCAGCCAACATCATTAGAAGACCTGCGACAAAGAATTGTGAATGGGTGCCTTCAAATTACTCCTCAAATATTGCAAAATGTGCGGCAACGTTTTGACCAAAATCTTTATTATTGCATGGAGAGTCATGGTGGCCATTTTCAACATTTACTTGCCTAACGGGCCAGTTCATTCTTCATTTTTAAATTACTTTGCTGCCAAATGTATTGATCTTCACTAATGATGATGTATTAGTTTTATTTAAGCTTTAAATCAATAAATCTTCAAAACTACTGAACTGAAGTACATTAATTTTATATTATTATAAAGGTAATTGAAAGACCTTTAAAATAAGGTATCACTCGATCCCCCTTTCCATTTAAGATTTTGACAGTGGTGTCACCCCCGCTTAGGGGGCTGGACGTGTTAACCTGATTTTTTGCCAAACTTGTGTCCCCCTCGAAAACAAAATCGACGGGTGTGAGCGTTTTTCAAAAAAAAAACTGAGCTGCCAGTAAATGCGTCTGTTTCGTTTTCGATGCGCCACCCTGTATAGTCTTATCATAGACGAAAATACCGCTGGTTTGCGAAATAATTGTAAAGTCTGGTTTTACTGATGCAAGTTGATCAAGGGTGTACTTAAATCATGGATACATAAAATGGATACACCAATTTTTGTGGAAACATTTTTTATTCGACGACAAAGAATGAGAAAACGTGTTTTTTTGGAATCAATCGAAAGTGTTGGCAGGAACGAAAAAACTCTTCAATTAATATGTTTAGGCATTTATGAGACCCACAGAATGAGACCACACGTGAAAAGTTCCGACTAACAGTAAAAAAGTTATGGCCGAAAACCGAGGCAAGATGCTGGTTTTAGCACTTGTTGGTAATGCGTACTTCTAAATAACATCAACAAAATTGGAGTAGTTTCTGAGAATTTCTAATCGTTTATCCCCTTCGTTTTTCACATAAAAATAACAATTATCTTTCGGAATGGTTTATGATTCATTTCGCTATAAAATGCCCTCTGAACAAACCCTGTATATTGCTCATTAAACTAGTAGTGATGGCCGGAAGACAGATGTTTTGGGGTAAGCAATTAGAAATTCTTAAAAACTACTTGACCAATCGACTCTAATTTGGTTGTGGTTATTTAGAAGTATGAAGCCTACGGATTTGAAGAATTTCAAGTAGCTGCGTGAAATTATCGTCGTATTAGCAACAAGAGCCATAACACCTGCATTTTGCCTCGGTTTTCGGCCATAACTTTTTTCTATTACTCGGATCTTTTTACGTGTGGTCTCATTCTGTAGGTCTCATAAACACCTAAAAATTTTATTTGAAGAGTGTTTGGTTCCACACTTCCAAAAAAACACGTTTTCTAATTCTTTGTTGTCGAATAAGAAGTTTTCCCACAAAACTTGGTGTACCCATTTTATGCGTACATGTTCTAATACCCCCTTGAACAACTTGCACAATTATTTCGAGGAAATATAAAAGATTAGACTACTAATAAAAAACTCCAAATGATTCTGATCCGGCGATCCTGGGGAATACAGGGTAGATGTGCGGCTATCTGGCCATCCAATAGGGTTACAATTTTGTCGGACAATGTTGAGAAGAATTGATGATGTTACATTTTTTGATAAAATTCTGTGGAGTGACGAGTCTTCGTGCAAAAAAGACGGGTACCTGAATATGCACAATTTACGTAGTCGACAAGTGGAGAATTAGCACGATGTCAAGAAAAATCCCAGACACCGATTGGAGTAAATCTATGGACTGGGATACGGAATGAGAAGATGATTGCTTCCACCAGCGTTAACGGGGG